CCATTCACGTGTATCGCGCTATTCGCGCCGCACAATTCGCGTCATTCACACCGTGCCATTCACGCGTATCGTGCCGCAGGATGTCTATTTGCGCGTTTGCATTGACTTAACATGTAAATCACTCGTGCTTGACGTGCGTTCCGCGTCTGGTGTGAACGCAGCATCACACAACTATAGTGTCTTCTTTGCAGAGTAACTCAATAATTTAATGCATTACTTACTATCTTTCCCCAACACTGCACACACGTTTATTGTGAACGAAGCGCACAGTATTTCAATGTTTTGTAGAAAGCGATGATCTCAGAGAATGTGGATCGACACACATCATTATTCTTCCTCAATGGTTTTGCGCTCTGCTGTTGATATGACCTCACTTCACTTTACTCCTGATTTGATGACTTTTTTTACCTGTGGCGCCTCTTTATCACTACTGATTTTGCTTTATGTAAGATATTTCACACTTACTGGATCATGGAAAACTGACTTTTTCGTTTTTAAAGTAGCCAACTTGTGCCTTCGTGTAATTATTCATTCAATAAAGTGTATAATTTTAATAAAAATAAAAATATTTGAGGAGAATGTACTATTGTCTGTTTTGGGAGGGAAATGAATCTCACAAAACCAAATATTTTTATTTGTTTTATTTGATTATTAAAAAAGTGACCAGTTTTAAGTTTAAAGTTTTAAATTACACTCCAAAAATGACATTTGCCGTTTGTTTAAACTACATATTTCAAGAGTTCACGTTTAGCTGATGATTGATTTATAAAGCGAGTTTTGCATGCTGTCCCAGGAGAGAGCCCTGAGCTCATAAAATCCTCGAGCCTGGTGCTTCCTCCCGTTTGCAGGATGAGAGGGGAGTTTGAGCTTAGTCTCGAGAACTCCCCCCTTGTTTAGAGCTGATGACAGGTCATAATTTGCTATGTAGAGATATACAGCTGGTTAAGAGTTCGACTATAGTGTTTATTTAGCTTGATCAATTCACTTATGACATGTTTTTGGACTGTGGGAGGAATCTGGAGAACCGGGGGAAACCTACGTGAACACGGGAAAAACATATATACTGTATAGAAACGACAGCCGGCCTGTTAAGGATTTGAACCAGTGACGTTCTTGCTGTCAGGCAACAGTGCTAATCACTGGGCACTGGAGGAGTAGGGCTGGAAGGGGGATTCTTCAAGGCGAAGATGTCTGTAGTAAGAGAACTCTGGTTACTTATAGTGAGCCAGGAATCGTCTGATTGGTGAATCATGCATTAGTTAATGTAGGACCAGCTGTGTACAATCATAATCACGTGCCCCTCTCGAAATTCGAGATGCTAATGGTCTAATCCGATTCAATTATTTATGCTAAGCTAAGCTAAAAGTGCTCCAGGAACTGTATATCAGCCAGTTGGCATTTCTGTGTGGAGTTTGCACGTTCTTCTCGTGTTGCCGTGGGTTTCCTCCAGGTGCTCTGGTTTCCCCCACAGTTCAAACACATGTGCTTGGGTGAATTGAGTTAACAAAATTAGCCATAGTGTATGTGTGTGAATGAATGGGTGTTTCCTAGTACTGGGTTGCAGCTGGAAGAGCATCTGCTGTTTAAAACATATGGTGGAATAGTTGGCGGTTCATTCCGCTGTGGCAACCCCTGATGAATAAAGGGACTACATGCAAACTCCACACAGAAATGACAACAGACCCAACCGGGGCTTGAACCAGCGACCTTCTTGCTGTGGGGTGATCGTGCTACCCACTCCGTTACCGTGACGCCCATTTTGATAATATATATATATATATTTTTTTTTAAATTGCTGTTTAAAAATTTATTTTAATTGATGTAATTATACTCAGGTTTTAAGTCTTATTATTGTCATTTTTTATTAAAACAGTGTTTTATATTAGTCAGCATACATAATAAATACACTAAAAAGATGTGCAGTAAAAGCTAATTTCACTCTAAATTTAGGAGCTATTTAAACTTATAACTGCATTTCACTGCAAAAAAATATTAAGCTACAGTGAGAAGATTTTTATCAGCACATTTCTAAACATAATAGTTTTAATAACTCATCTCTTATAACTGATTTATTTTATCTTTGCCATGATGACAGTAAATGATAATTGACTAGATATTTTTCAAGACACTTCTATACAGCTTAAAGTAACATTTAAAGGCTTAACTAGGTTAATTAGGTTCACTAGGCAGGTTAGGGTAATTAGTCAAGTTATTGTATGATGATAGTTTGTTCTGTAGACTATTAGAAAAAATATATATATAGCTTAAAGGGGCTAATAATATTGATCTTAAAATGTCTTTTGAAAATTTTAAAACTGCTTTTTTTCTAGTCGAAATAAAACAAATAAGACTTTCTCCAGAAGAAAAAATATTATCAGACATACTGTGAAAATTTTCTTGCTCTGTTAAACATCATTTGGAAATATTTAAAAAAGAAACAAAAGAATTCAAAGGGGGCAAACAATTCTGACTTCAACTGTATATATTAGCATAAAAACAATGACTAAATAATGAAAAAAAAAATAATATATATATATAAAGATACTATACTATTTTCCCAGAAATTTTTTTGTTTGTTTTATATAAAAATTATTTCTTATAATGGTTTACATATACTTTGAAAAAAAATATTTAAAAATAATTCCTTGGATTTACTAATTTTTTTTACGTTAAGTGGTTGTAAACAATTTAATTGTGTTGAATTTAAACAAACAAATTAAGTTGAACATTATTCAATTTAGTTTGTTTGTTTAAATTCAACACAAATACATTGTTTGCAACAGTTCTGCATGCAACACTTTTTTTCAGTGTATGTGATGTGTATGGTGTTTTAAATGTGAAAAAACGTGCTTCATTTTCATGAAAATATTTTCATGGTTTTACAATTTTTTTTAAGGTAAATATATTGTTTCCCAGTACTGGAAGGGCATCCGCTGTGTAAAACATATGCTAAATAAGTTGGCGGTTCATTCCTCTGTGGCGACCCTGATTAATAAAAGAACTAAGCCAATAAGAAAATGAATGAATGAATGAAAGTATATATTTTTATGTCTACACTATAAAAAATACTGGGTTCCACACAATTCTTTCATGTTGTCCCAACCCAAATTGATTGTTAGCTTACAAAGTTAAGTGGCTTGAACATAAAACAATTAAGCTGTCCCCAAAAAACCCTCAAGAGTTGAGTCATTTCAGCTTATTTTAAGTAGTTTGAGCTAGTCATTTTTTGAGTGTATTTAAATATGGCCTTGACATGTTTCATCATATTTAGGTAAATCATACAGCCGTGTTGTACTTTGAGAGGGTGGACACCGGTTAGCGTGAGTGTTTTCCGATCACATAAGCTGTGATAACTAAAAAGAAACAAACATTGGCTGTTGATAAAATCCCGAGCGTTCAATCATTGACAGAATCGGCGCGCTGTGTGAACGTCAGCAGACTGTCGGCTCGGTTTATGCCGCAGATCAGATGATTCATGTCAATTAAAGAGCCAATAAAGAGCTGATGCTGTAACGCTCATCTCACGGCCTTCAGGATCACGCGTTTCAGGAGTTAATGTTTGATTGGATTCACCATTGACCTTCATCTGAAGCAACACACCGATGTGTGAAAAGCACATTAAAATATAGAAGTACTGCGTTAAAATTCACACTTCAGTGAAGTGTGTCCATCTACAGCGAGGATCATACAGTACATTAATAATGTTCTTTATTTACTAAACACTGAAATTAGAGTAAGATGCAGAGCAGCTGAAAACAAATGCAAAACAAATCAATATGTGGTTTGCTTTTGAAATATATAATCGAGAACTAAGACTTCAGCTTGATGAGAAAGATAAAGTAATGCTGATTACTTTTGTTAACTATATATCTTTTTGTGTTAACTATATATATATATATATATA